TTGCCCAACAAAATACTTCAGCAAAATTGCCTTAAAAACACATCCGTGATACATATGGGATATACTTTTTTCGGACCTTCAGCAGAAGAAAATTGCTTTCGAATCTTTCTATATATATCAAACAGGGAATCACACTCGATAGGAAGGTTATTGAGATTTAGTTTCCTATTCCTTATTATGTTCAATTTCCCTTTTTTTGGATGGGGAAGAGAAGGGTGAAAAGTGGCAAGGGCAAATGAACACATTTTTCCTCTTCATTATAAAAAAATTCCAAAAATAGAGAAGAAAAGGAAAATGATGTTCGGCAACTTGGGGAGCAAAGACCAAAGAGATGTGTTATTTGGTCAAGGACTCAAGTTGGGCCCTATAATTACCCAGTTATCCTTACCCACGTGAATAGAAAATATTGAGAAGCTGATATTTATAATGATACCTTGAAAAAGAAGGCCATATAAAGTCCGAAACAATGAGAAAGCACATTTGCAATATCACTGACTTTATAAAAAGTGTTTGAAGAAAAAGCAAGAATGGACCAACAAATCTTGAAAACTTTGAAAGATGAAACTTGTTACGATATTAGAAACCACTGACCACATAAACCACGTGATTGTCGGACCCCAATAATCGGTGACATTCGGGTATACGTGGTGGAATAATATGTTGATCATCCTCAATGAGTCAAATCCATTATTTAATTTTAATTTTATTTGTGAGTTTAATGAAAGAAATGTCATCTATAGACCTAGCATCATAATGGTAATGAGTGCTGCGGATAAGAGACAGAAGAATATAAGGAGCATAAATGAGACCGAGTCATTTCGATAATCCATCCACCAATGCGTTGTATAGTTTTGGGCCAGAAATGCCAACTGGACCTGACCTAATATATTCCAAGCCCAGATCTCATAAAAAATGAAAAATTAGATTAAAAGGTAAAAGGCGCCCACCGTGGGGCTCGAACCCACGACCACAAGGTTAAGAGCCTTGCGCTCTACCGACTGAGCTAGACGGGCAACTGATGGAGTGTTTATATTTTTTTAATAAGAATTATATTATTTCATCAGTAACATTGATGTGTCCTGGCCTTCTTGAACCATTGCTCATTTTCCACTGAAATGAGTAGTAAAGAAAGAGTTCAGAAGAGCATGTTTCCAATGACTTTTTTTCATTCACGAAAAGAGATTGTGCATCAGCAAATCTCTTTGACTTTGAGAGAAATTGGCTACTAATCAAGGGAGATTTGAGTGCATCTGCTGCAAAGGAATAGTCTAATGCTAAATCATTCAACTACTTGAACCAACTAGCTATTCTTGTTTGAAGTTAAATAAAGAGCATATTTTGGATTCCGAAATGAATTTCTAGGTCCGCACATTTATCAACATATTAAGCTCGTAAAAAGAAATAAATTGATTATAGACTTCGAGTCCTTGAATACCTTGCTTTCTCAACACCTGTCCGAGATGGAAGAATAGGTACACTATATACGTATATAGACGCATAGAGTCCGTTTAATTTGCTAAAAAACTTGGAACAACATCGTAACCCTCCCTCTGCTGCAAATTCATGCTAAACCTTAGATGAAAGCTTAGGAGAAGAAGCAGTATCATCGCTGCTGGCTATCAAGAAATATAAGTCACAATTCAAAAAATCAATGTCTATCATAAATAAAATTAAGATTTAAAATAATTAAATGATAAATATTATAATAAAAAATATTTAAATATTAGTCCTGTATTTCTTTTAATGCAAAACAAAAATTACACAACACAAAAAGTTTTATATCATTTTGTCTAGTGTTTATGCATATCAAATATGGTTGAGCACATCACCACCAACTATGTGTTCTTCCAATTTAACTAGTTATATCGAGTTCTTGGGAATTTAAGTTGCCGCCACTCGAATTGAACTAGTTGAGATTCCAAAAAAATCCTAAAATCAATGAACTTAAGATTCACATATACAATTTCAACGATTGAAAAATTCACACCCAAATTCATTTAACACACTACCCGAAATCACTAACCTATGACCCGAATTCATTTAAATCCAAATTCTCCTTTTGTAAACCCCAGTTGCAATCCTACAACGGCCAACTCATCTTTCTTTTTGGAACAATGGCCATAATGTCACTTTTTTTAAAAAAAATCTCCAAATGCCACACGAACATTAGATTTTATCAAAATGTCATACGACCAATAGGTAGCGAGTTTGGTGTGCCTACGTGTCACCTTTATGATAGCCACCTAATTTGCTAGAGGGTATAGCAAGTTAAGTGATCAAAGTGTCAGTCTATTTGAGTAAAAGCAAGACACGTGACAGCCTCTCCCTAATTTGCTACCTGACATAGCGAATTAGGTGTCAGTAAGTCGCTACCCTTAACTACGAGTATGGTTGTTTCAGAAAAAGCAGGACATGTGGCAGTCTCTCCCAGACATCGAATTTAATTGTATCAGCCACGTGTCATATTCGTTGTTAGGGGTATCGAATTTAATCCTATATAAACCCACCCTCATTTCCCACATATCATGCAACTTTCTCTAGCCTTTTATAAATCCCTTTGAGTTCTATTTTTTGTATTGTTAGTGTTATTCTTCCTTTTGTATTTTGTATTTTAATTTTTACATAATGAGTGAAAGTAGCAATGATTTAATCGCTGTTGTATACTATAATGGGAAGAGATATTTTGGGCCGAATGATCAAGTTTTTGAAAGAGATACAAAAATGTTTCGCATGAGCCCCCGATGCAGTTATAATGACCTAAAGAAGATAATATACAAGAAGTTAAGATTATAATAACGTGGTAAATCTCTATCTTGATTGACTACTAGATGCGCCTCAGGTAAAGAGAGTTGGGTTGCTGTGGAGATTGTTGAGGATGAAGATGTCGCGCTGGTAGTGGATGCATTTTAAAATGATCCAAACTCTACGTTTATTGAATTGTATGCGGAAGTAGTCTCCGGTGGACAATGTATCAGTTAGCGTTCCCTTCCTTCCATTCACCCCATCGACATTAACAAGGAGCCCTTGGTGAATCCTGAAGATAGGTATGTGTCCCCTCCATTACCCCACCCCTCCAATGTCTGCAGAAATGGTTCTAGCCCACGACATGTACGATTCAGCATGGCGTACAGACAGTTTCAATGAAGAGGTGGATGAAGGTGTTGTTCCGGACAGTGACTCTTCAAATACCGACGTCAATGGTGATTTCGATTCATGTCCGTTTATCGCGGTGTGTCATCCGATGCATTCACTTGGCTTAGTAGGAATACAGGTCCCGCTAGTGGAAGGTTAGTAACCTTAATGGTGAAATTTTTGTAAACGTAATTGTTGACGACACAAGTTGATAGATTGCTTCGCATGTGTGATTATACAGGAGAAGATGATGTGTCGTTTTGGTCTCAGACACCCCATTACACAAATATTAATTGGGCATACCCAGATCAGGAGTTTCCTGACTTGGAGGGAGCGCAAGTACCTAAATAGCATATGGGACAAGAGCTATATATACACCAATTGTTTGAGAGCAAGCAGTATATGCAAATAGCATTAAAATAATTTTGTATAAAGAAGTATAGCACAACCGTGTTAGACAAGAATGATACCAAAAGGTTGATAATGGTTTGTGAATATCACAATGATGGTTATTCATTTGTTCAATGATCATAGGTATGTCAAATAGCTGCCCTTGTCAATCAATTATAGACATTCTACAAAAGGGCGATGCATCTTCATGTTATGTGTTATTAATCTTAGAGTTTAAGTCCAGGCTTCTAGTGGAGTAACACCAAATCAGATAATCATTTGTTGATTATCAAGAGCCTTGATTAATAACAGTTGGTAGATCCCCAGGCTAGCTCGAGATAAGGGATGTGACATTTTCAGTTAATGACAACTAGTGAGTTACATGGTTTTGGGCTTTGGGCTCAAGTTTATACACAAGAGCAAGTGGAGATTGTTGAGTTTTGCTCTTTTACTAAAGTCCAATTAGGCCTAGTGTGTAAGAACTAGAGCTCATTCAACTTAGGCTAGGGTTTCTTGGAACCCATATATATTCTACACTTATAGTCATCAGCTTTGAAGGTCTTCACTTGGTGATTGCAGAGGCTGAAGTAAGGTCATCTCCACGATAGTGAAAGAGTGCCCACACGCCAGCCCTATTCCCCCTTGAGTGATAGTCTGGAAAATCTACTACTAGCCAGCCCCAAGAAGATTGTTCGTGCAAAGGAGAGCAGTTCGTGAAAAGAAATTAAACACAAGAAGATACTGCACAGATCTACGCAACAAAAGGTAAATTAGTAAAATGATGATGATCTGTTTGCATCCCAAACCGCAATGGTCTAAAACACTTTCGCGGATTAATAATTCCTACACTATTGTGAGCGATTGCAGCTGCATTAGTGATTTTGGGGTTTGAACTCTTGGATTAATTTTGTGAATTTTATTAGAATGTGACTTGAGTTATTTAAATTTGGTAATGTTTTGGAATTGTCTTGAATTTTGTTATCTTTTATATTTCCTATCTTTTCATGAATGAAATTATGATTTTAATGTTACTGTATATATATATATGATTAAAATTAGGAAGATAGGATTTTATAATCCATCAAGATCTCACGATTTTACGATCTTTTATTCCTTTCCAATCTTAGCAAAAATCTAGATTCTGACAAGTGACAGCCATGGACTACACAAAGATCACTTTCAATCCAATATTAGTCATAAAAAATGGGACATTATATAATTAAACCGATTTCAATCCCAAATCAATCCCGTCAAAAGACATTACTCAACTCACTGAACTGTAGCCATCAGCCACAGCAGTTCGGTGGCACCCAACCGTCCAAGACTAACACGTATATTTGCAGATTGCATGTGGACATCTACCAGTCCATGAACTATAGCATGTTCATAAAACCGAACTTTCGAATTTTATTCTGATTTTCAAACTACATCACGGAGGAGGAAGCCCATTTCATATTTCAGAATTCACAACCCACAGGGCAAGGAATATTCTGACATAGACATGAACCAAAACCAAATTTTTGAATTCCAAAACATGACAACAGAAGAAATTCCTCCCCCGCTCCCTTTTCTTACACAAAATAACAATTTGTAAAGCCCGGTTCTACTAATCTCCACCCTCAATCTAACAAAAGACATATATTTTACCATCGGCAGATATATCTCTAAAAGAAATTTGGTAGTTCCAAAGAGTCCACATGCAACGCATTCAGAAACTGTCTAGGATGCTTCTGTCTCTCAGTCAGATTTATAATCCTGCATCTTGTATGATCCTCCGTTCTGCTCAACACCATTTGTCAACTCTTCCTTCAACTAAATCAATTCACAAAACAACAAATAGGTGGAAAAACAAAAAAAAGTCAATCGTTGCATTTTATAAACCTAAATAAATCATGTCCAAAACAAAAATAATAAAGAATTAGAAGAAAATAAGATGTTCTTAAGGAAACTGAATACACAACATACAATCACATTTCTAAATGGCAAAGCTTTATAAATTTACCTTACGAAGTACTTTCTTCTGATACCTATAACCCTGTGACATAAAACAGTAGAATTATTGAAAATCAATTTGAAATGTGGAAATAACTACGCAGTTATTTATATAGCAAAAGAATTCTGGAATCATGATATAACCTTGTCAGTTCCATAGATGTAATCACAGTATGTGAAAACTGAAGCGAAGTTGCTTTGGCTTTGTTCACCAACATAATGATGATAATCATGATAATCAGCGCCACCATAGAATGGAATATATTTTGTGGGACTCCAGGGGAAGTCATACCTGACATGATAAGGAAAGCAATACACTATAAAGGCCTGGTGCCAAAATTGCAAAGCAGAAACAGAGAAGAATGATGAGTAAACTTCTCATAAAAGAAGTGGGTGGGGGTTGGATTATGCTGATGTTTATCAATATTGAAAAAGAGTCACCACAGGTAAATTCCTACAGGCAAGACCAGCAAAATTTAGAAATACAAGTTGCAAGCACCACGAGGATATCCCATCTCAGCAAAACTAATCATCATCCAGATATAATTGCGCCTTTCTATAAACAAAACCTATACAGCATCAAAATTGATTCTATAACAATTAACTGCAGAAGTGATTTATAGAAATCAATTTAACTCTCAGTTTCACATTGATCTGCTCTATGACTCTATATTTTGAGACAGCAAACACCAGAAAGATTTATTTCTTGGCATAGTAAAAAATCTAGCCAAGGTTTGTACCAGACAAATTACAATTTGACTTCTGGTTGCCAGATTGATCACAACATACAAATTATTCCGCACAACAGTAACCTTCAAGAAAACTATGTTTCCTGCTAAACTACCAAGGTCCCACAAATTCATGGGCAGCTATCTTCTTCGGCACTAAACTTATCTGAGATTAATTTAGATTATTCACACCCCAGAACTTCCCTAGATTAGACTTATACAGAAATATGAAATTCCGACTCATGTGACAAACCACGGCCTGAAAGAATCACTAACGAAATTTCACACCTAGAAGCGCATTTACTCCGAAATTTAGACAAAAATGGAATTGTGATCCTGGGATCTCTAATTTAATAATTTCACATTGTTAAGATCAACCTGTGAAGATCTTTATTAACTGTCCTTTAGCAACATCGAGCTAAAATGCAGCATAAATAAATGTTGTGAAGCTGGACAGAACAGATGCAAGAGTAAAAAAAGTAAACCATTGAAAGACAAAAAATTATTCTCAAACTTCCACGACATCACCATTAGCTAAAAGATTTCAAAACTCGTAAACCCTTTCATCAGCAGAAAATTTTACCATCTTACAAGAAGGATTTTAATCATCATACTAAGAACACAAATCACAATAAGGTTAAAAAAAAGAAGAAAAAGGTGTTAAACAGATCCTAGTCGCCGTCAAAGAAAAAGTAAGCCATTAATAGAGAGATATATGAAATCCAAAGTACTTTACAAAAGGGTTGCTGAAGATAAGATGGAAAATGACAAGAAGCATTACCCGCTGTGCGTGTCAATGGCCTCAATTTGGCGCAATGCTATCCACAACCAAAACGTAATCATGTGACCAGGGCACATAGCGGGGCCAAGAAAAGACGGAATCCCAAGGATCAAGATCTCCGCCCAGTGAGCATAGGGCGCCGCAAACCCTATCGGAGCCTGGTATTCATGGTGGACGCGATGAATCTTGTCGTAACCCCACTTGTTGTGAAGAAACCTGTGGATCCAGTAATTGGTGTAATCTTCGACCACGAAATACACCAACAATTGGAAAAGGATCTCCCAACCCGACGGCAATGGCAACCCCGTCCTGACCCCAATCATCTGATAAAACCAACCAAGACCATCAATAACTGAAACTGTAACTGAATTTGTAACTGAATCTGAAACTAACCTTCAAAGAAGGGTAGGAGACGAGTTGGAGGGGACCGACGACGAGGAAGAACATTCGCATGACGTCCTTGTAGCACTTGAGCATTTCCGCCAAGGATAAGCGAACCTTGGGCTGGATCTTGTACTTGTCGAAGCGAGAGAGGCGTTTTATCTCGAGGAAGACCATGGGGAGAGGGACGACGGAGAAGATGAAGAAGAGGAACAGAATGTTGTGGCAATAGAGGAAGTAGTCGGATTTGGAGGCGGAGTACTTGAACCAGAAGGTCTCCGCCACCGTCAGGTTGCGGCCGAGAACCGCCTCGGCTTCCTGCAGAGACTGATAGGGAATCATCGTCGCGGAAAACCTAGCGGTGACGCCGGCGGAGAGAGAATGAAAATAAAACAAAAATGGGACAGCAGATTTAATTCGGAGTGGATGCTGCGCTGGACTGTTTGTCTGTTACAACCAACAAATATTTGCGGGAATTTTAAAATGCCAAGCACCTCTTATTTATAGACTTTTTCATTCTCTCTCTCTCTTTTGGATTAGCATGCTCTGTTTTGATTTCTTTTCTTGGATATTAGGGAGGGATGCCTCTACATGGAGGAAAAAAGGTAATCTAATGATAAAGCCAACACATTTTTCTTTTGTTAGAAAAAAAATCTAGATTATTATTACTAGAAAAGAAAATCTACAGTATTAGGATTATTCATGTTTAAATTTTTATCTTAGATAATGTTTTCAATCGTGAATATTAATCCGGAGATAAAGTTATTTTTAGTTATCCCAAACAACTTGTTTTGAGATTGAATTTTATTTTTTTTAATGGTAAAGATTAATATAGGGTCGAGATAAATTAAAATTATAAAAATATTTTTTCTAACTTCGAAATTACATTATTTTGAAATGAAAATAAGTTATATCCAATAACTTAGAAATATTAAACCTAAAAATGAAATAGTATCATTTATTGGGAGCATTTATTCGACTGAGTAGTGATGTATACTCAAATGCTGAATGCCAAATTCACAAAAAATTTGTCCTAACCATTCATTTCTTTTTATTTTTTCCGTAATCGACATCAAATTTTTTATTGTTATTTTAACATCATAAATTGCAGTTATTAATAAACATTTATTATTTTACCTCTTTTTCTGCAGGTTTGAGGACTTGTAATGTAATGAATTAATAATATATTGCAGTGATTAATACACTCTCCATATGTTTTAAATTAGTTGTTTTTTTAAGAAAAAGTTCTTTTTTTTAATTTTTTTTTTTTCCATTTTAGGGTGCGGCATTCCGCATTCGGCGAGGTGATTCGATAGCATCTTACTTATTTGTGTTTGACGCGGTGGCTCAGGGAAAATGGAAACTTAATACTGCAAGAAGGATTGGTTCGTAGATATCTCATATTCGGTTCACAAAAATTTAGTCCTTCTCATCATTATTATTTTTTTCAATCTCTCTTCTTTTTATTTTTTTCCCTATCCGGCATCAAATTTTATTGTTATTTAACATTATAAATAAAAAACATTTTTTTTTTTTTTATGTTAACTCTAATTACCTTTTTGAGATGACTCTCCAAGTATCTCCATAAATTTTAGTTCTTTGAACCGGTTACAGGACTAATCTTGAATACGGGATGAGTTCAAAATTAAGATTTTAACTTCTTCTCAAAAGCAGTGTTTTAAAACCCCACCCCACCCCCCGGGTTGACTCGGGTCAACCCTGACCCCTCTCCTATGAGGGTTGGGGTCACAACTTGGACTCTATATGTACATCAACCCCTCCGACTCCCAAAACCCGGCCGAGTTTTAGTGACTCCCGGGTCATAGGGGTCACTGCATGTTTTTTTTTAAAAAAAAATTCCCTGAAACAATGTCATTTTATTAAAAAAAAATAAAAAAATAAAAATGCTTACAAACCTAAATCTAATTGTTATCTTCTCTCCAGTGACCTAGACGTCTTCAATCTTCACCTCGTTGCCGTAAATCTTCTAGAAAAGGTAAGAATTTTTCCCATTCAAATGAAATCCTTACAGCTGTTGATGGAAAACAAAAACTCATTCTTACTTCTTTTAAATTTTTCTTCCTTTGTCAGAGACCTTATCAAAAGAGGCAGAACTGGGTCACCGTAGTGACCCCATTAGAATATGAGTTTTGTACTTTGGTATCTTGATACTTTAATTTGGTTGTGTAATATTGACTTGTGGTTGTAATTGATGAATTATGTTAAGTATATTTTAAATCTTTGATAATTGGTGATTTGTTTTTTAATATTTTCATATAGGATATATATATATATATATATATATATATATATATATATATATATATATTTATTTATTTAATATATAAAATCGGGTCAGCGTAGTGACCCCGTGACCCCCCGGTTGAACCCGTGACCCCATAACCCCTGACCTTGGCCGGGTCGATGACCGGGTCGGGTTTTTAAACACTGCTCAAAAGTGATATTGGTGGAAATTGAATCAAAAGTCCTTCTGTCACCTACTCAGCTCTTATGCATCAACTAATTTATTACTAAAACATTTATTGTTTTACATATTTTTCTACCGGCTTGTGGTCGAGTATATGTAATAAATTAATAATATATTGTAGTGACTCATAGACCCTATATTTGTTTTAAATAATTTATTTTTGTAGAATTTTATTTCCATTCTAGGGCGTGCCATTTGGTGAGGTGATCCCGTATCACACGTTACTTATTTGTGCTAAGCATGCAAAAAGTATCGCATATGATCGCTGACGTAGTGTCTCGGCGAAAATGGAAACCTAATATTGCAAGAAGTACTGGTCCGCTGATATTTTATCTCTTGTTTTTTGATGACCTACTCCTTTTCGCAGAAGCTTCAATGGGGAAAATAGATATAATGAAATATCCTCTGATCTTTACTATCATCTTTGTCAAAGAGTTCTAGAAACCATGGTTCATGCGCTTCGCGACTGCTCGGAGGAAGCGAAGAAAATTTGGATTGAATGGATTGGCTCGTTAGCTCATTGCAAAGCTTTTTTTTAAGCTAGTGAAGAAGACTGGGTGAGCATAAATCTAATGAGACACATGGTAAAAGAGAATTGAAGATTGGAGAGACAAGTTTTTCATCACCTATTAGAGTCTTTGGAGTTAGCACAACAATCGATTGCATAAGCAACATTAGCTATCCTACGTTACCCTCAGTAAGCATATCTAATTATGTACGTAGAAACTTTGGCTTTCTAAACAATATTCAGCTATTCTAAACAAACAATTTTTGTAGTAAGAAATAACATACACCCGCGAATTACAAATCCACCCATCTTTAGCACGGGTCACTAACAACTGATATTAAATTATGGGAAAAAGCATTTGAGTTTATATTATTAAATAATTCTCACTAATTAAAGAGTATCTCTATTTAACTCATACAACTAATTTACTTTTATACTTTTTTATTTTCATGTTTATTATTTTCAAATTTAGAAAGATTTTTTCCCTAGCTGTTTTGTGTTTATTGTATCAAAAGATTATTATTTTTTCACTTTCATCCCTCCTATTATTTCCCCATTTTTTTATCCCGGACAAATGATTCTAATGCGTAATGCATTTGTCCTGACGCAATGCATTAGCATAGATAGTTCAAGTTGTAATAGTAATAAAAAAAATAAAAAATATTAATTGACTCGCTTTAATTAGTAGAAGAAGTTAAAGAATCCAAATCATTCAAAATATTACAAAAAAGCATGTTACTGAGAAAAATAATCAAAACTTGTAAATTAGAATTATAAAAATATCATTATTTAGATTTTATAAAAGTATGAATCAAATCAAAACGAATGCACCTAATTGAAGGGATTAATTATTTACAATAAATTAATTAATTTTTCTAAAAAACCTATATTGTGAAGCTGACAACAAAATTTGAGTTGCTATATTTATAGGTATGGACATTAATCATATTGAAGATTGTAACTGTATATTCATGGAGCTGGTGGGAGAATGGGAATATGTTACTATTTAAATTATTATTTAATATTAATCATTCTTTTTTTTTCTAAGATAAAACTAACCTTTTCGAAGAGGTAGATCATATTAGGTAGATAAATCTCTTCCAATAAAATATTTTCTATACACACGCAACATATTAATCATTCTTTACTTGTGGGTTGTTTACATGATTTCCCAAAATTATTTTCTAACGGAATGTTATGAGTAATTCAAAGATGACGTTTGCCACTTGTATGAAACTATGATGACCCTCTTGTCGCTTATTGATACTCTCTGTTCTTACGGTAACAATGCAATGACTTTTTTTAGGAAAAAAACAAAACAAAAATTGTAATGCCACAACTTAATGAGAACTCTGATTTCAGCAGTACTATTTATTAAATTCTAAAAGATGGGCATGAAAAACTAATTTCTCAAGTTGGGTCGCGTTTAAGAGAAACCTTTTTATAGATATCACAACCTACCCCTTATCCCATCAACTTTGGATGATTTTAGCACAATGTTCTCAAATTGATGGAAAAGGTCTACCCGCGTCTATCCATAAAATTCCCATTCTTCGTTAGAATGCATTTTTTTTTTTCCTTTTTTTTCTTCCTGTAACTGTTACATATCAGCTCGGTAACCATATTATTTAACTACAAATTACTGAAAAAGAAGAAGCTAGCAACATATTCATTTTTACAACTAAATCAATATTTTTTTATTAAATACCGGCAACCACCTTCTAATTTGATTTTAGACCTGTGTCTCTCCATTCTTCCAAGAAATTGTGACTTTCACGGATGGAGTTTACTATCCAGGTTAAATCCTATGATTTAGCTATTATATATAAATAAATACTCGAGAAAATGACAATTGAGTATTTATTAGCTCTCAAAAGATCCTTGTCAAATCGTCAAAATATGGCCAATCAAGGAAATTATTTGGAAAATTTGTTGAAACTATTTCAACTTAAAAATTTAAATTATTAAGTGAAAGTCTCGTTAATAATTTTATATTATATTTTTCAGGAATATATTTTTGTAGTTATTGCAGATAAGTTATCTGCATTTACTTCTAAATTAACGTCGTTTTGGAATTGAAAAATTAAAAAATTATAATTATAAAAATTAAAATAACTCTGAAATAAATTAAAATTACAAAAACATCATGATTTTTGCCCCAAAACGACGTCGTATTAGACTTACTGTATTAACTGCAAAAAAAATAAACCCTATATTTTTTTAACATCTTCTCACACAATAGCCTATTTAATTACATAAGCTCTGATTCCAAATAAAAAATTATTTCAATTCAAAATCTCAAAAATTAGATAAAAATCACGTTAATAATTTTATATTATAATATTTCTGTAACGGAAGTCGTACCAATTCATACACAAATTTAATGTGAAGGTCGAGGCTGTTTTAAAGGCCATCTAAAATTGCTTGTTTTTCGAGATTATAAGTTCTATCCATTATATTCTGATCGTCA